TCTTTCCAGCAGCTGTCTGGGGAAGGACATGAACGGCACGAAAGCGCTGAGGTGGCTGTAACTCCAACAACGTATCTGGCATCCAGAAGGTGGCAAGAAGAGCAGCATCTGGGTAAAAGCAGAGCAAAGAAAGTTCCCAAGGTGTTTTCACAGAGTGTTATTTTCAGCCTAACTGCCCAGAAAGCAACATTTTGGGGGGGGTGGAGAGAAGAGGTGACAGTTCCAGCCCACCATGTCGAGTGGAGAGGTTGCTCCGGAACAACTCCTTTGAGACGACTCGCTGTAGAAAGTTGTGACGAGTTTCTCGTTCCCTGGGCGTACGCTTGCAGTTCTCAAGGCAATGTCCAACCGGAGTCCTGCTCCTCGGCCGAGGTTTAGGATACCAGCTCTGGCCTTCTGCTGAGGCAAACTCGTGAAGAGGCAACGCTGCAACTGCAGTACTGTGAGGACCCGGGGCTGTGCCAGGTGCTTTTAGCTAATACAGATAATAAATAATTGCAGTCGCCATGAAACTTCCTGGTTGGAACTGGCTCCGGATGAACAAAACTGTTGAACAAATCACCAGCTAGGAAAAAAAACCCAAACCAAAACAAGGCAAAAACCAGTGCCTCTATTTAGAAGAGAATAATACATTTTTAAAATATGTTTCACTGTCTAGATGTAATGGAAATACTTCTCAATGAGAATATACTTTTAATTGGGGAAAAAAATACTTTTGTGATTTTTTTAAAACAAGTTTCCACTTGACAAGTAAAAAAAGTGTTATGACTTCTCGAGGCCCTATACGTACCTTAATATGGAGGTGTGCTTTTGTCCTAAGCAGTAAATGTGACTGCCAAGTCTGCATTCGCATTAAAACCACACAGCTGATAACTGACACAAATACCAGACAAAAAAGAACACCATTTTTGTACCCTCCACCATCAAGAACAATGCTGTGTTCTGTTCTGTTTTTTAAGTTGAAGAAAAAACCCAAAAACTTAAGGATAAATCCATCGCTAACATGCAACGGGATCGTGTGCAGAGTTAGAACAGTTAAAAGCTCTGTACGGAAAAGCATTTCAAATCATCGGCTTCTTTTTACCTGGTAACTACAGATGCTTAGCAAAGTTTCACTCAGTGTTTTGGATTAGTTGTACAGATCAGTTCTGTGACAGGACCAGTGACGTTAACAATAAACAGTCAGTGCATACCGGTAATAAGTAGCGTGCAACACTTTACAGAAAAGACAATACTAGGCCTACAGCAAAATTGTCCGTTGTTCCTGGGCGATACAGGAGCCTGCTCTGTTTCTAGAAGGGTACTTCGCAGCCCACACTCCTAAGGCCATTTGCAAATTTTACCCGTGTCGTTCCTGTAATGAATCAGGCCTTTTTATTTTCGCCGATATGGTGGTTATGGTAGTCTATGGCTGTCAGTGCAGGTACAAAGAGAGTGCGGGGTTGAAAAAAGCAGGATCTCAAGCAGTTTTAAAATGTAGTTTTAAAGTTGTAACTTAGCTGGTAAGAAAAGTCTCCTCCCCTGATGACAATGCAGATTCTCTTCCATCTCTATACCACAAAAAGTTATACATGAGACGATCGTTCCTCCACAGTGGACAATGCTGGGTAATGGTAGTTGGTATTAGGTCAGCTCTAATAGTTTATTCTCCAAGCTCGCATGTTAAAGAAAATCTACTAAGACGTCCTGATGAGTGGGGACCTTTCATCTTCAGTACTCTGAAAGAAAAAAAATCGCAACACAGGGAAGTTAAATGTGGCGCATTAGAGAGCTTCCACGGTGGGGAAGCTGGATTGCCGAGACTCCAAACAGGAAAGGGAAAAGCTCTTGGCTCCTACTTCTAAGTACAATTTCCTGTAAGAGAACCAGCACTGCACTAAAAAAGCGCCAGAGGGTGGACGGCAGCTTGGGCACGGACCTCGGGCTCACTGTAGCACCTTACAGATGATGGAAGGCCATAACCACCCTGGTGGGAGGGCGATCACAAGGAGAGCTAGAACTAGCTGAATTACTTTTGTTTGCAGGAAAAGCAACAAAAGCAATGTAGAGAAAACATGGAATTTAGGTGCCCCTTTGTAATTTTAATCCTTCTGCAGCGTTCAAGAACATCCAAGAGAGCTGGTATGAAGCCATACATGTAGGGTGGGGCAGGCATGCCTGGGATAGGAGC